CARMMMCARACACMRACACMRAMMCARACACMRAMACARAMMCRGACACMRACACSGACACSGRCACCGACACAACACCAGACACCGAAACCGAATCGGAGTCCGAAGAATCCGGTTGCGGCGAATCCRTGCCCTCGCTCCCRGRRCACACGGCGGYGGTTCCACCCACCGRGACGAGAGCCCGCYCCGGGGAGCCCAAAGCTTCCACCGCCAAAGCGCCCACGGTGAAAGCCGGCACCAAAAACCAGGAACGGCTGTTCCGGGCCTACAACGGCGTGAGCTTTACCGCAAACCTCGTCACCGCCGCGGCACTCTCCGTGCTCATCACCACGAGACACTTTGCCACCGCGAAGGACGGGCACGGGCACGGGCAACAGGACGAGAACGGCAGCGAGGAGCCCGCCACTGCTCGAGACGAAGGCAAAAGCAAAGGCGACGGCGACGGCGACGGCGGCTCGGTCGGGGAGATTCCGGCCTTTGGGGACGAGGCTTTCGCCGACAGCGAAAGAGAAGGGGGCGATGCCCCCGTGGAATCCGGGCCACTCCCGCCTCCTCCGCCGATGCCGGCACCCCCCAACGAGGAGAACGGACGGGGAGGCGGTGGCGGCGAAGATTTACTCATTTCCGTCCTCTCCACCATTGCCTGCCACGGGATTCTCCCGGAGCTGAACTTTGAGGAATACAAGGACGAGCAGCACCAGCCGCCAGAAAATGGAGGCAAACACGAAAACGAAAACAAGGAACACGACGAAATCCCTTCGGTGGCGGCATCGAAGGGTTCCGGCACCCACAAGATCCCCGGATTCCGGGCCCTGCAGCAATTGTGGGAGGCGAGGAGCCAACCGAGGGCAGGGACGGTCGAGAAAAAAAACACCGGAACGGGCCGCGACCACGAAAGCATTTCCGGCGACAACGACAGCGACAGCGATTGCGCCTCCTTTGCCACCGCGGGAGACGACAGCCTGAGGTCCTTCCTGACGGCCGCCTGCCACGAGGCGAACAACGACTACTACGACTCCCACCAAAGAACACGCCGCGGCAACGACAGCAACCACGGCAACAGCAACAACCACAACGACAACGACAGCAACGGCATCATCGGGATGAACGTCGACGTGGACGTCGACGCGGACGCGGAGGACGCCCGGTCCCTCCTTTCCGGCCTTTCGGGCCGTTCCGTCGCGGAAGGCCTCTACGGCTGGCTGGCGAGGATGCCCTGGCCGCTCTCCGCCCTGCTCTTGCCCGAGCAGCACCTTCCTTCCCTTGCCAAGGCGCCGGAAGAGGCCAGGGGTGGCAGAGGCCTCCCGGCCCCGCCCTCCGCGCCCCTTTCCGACGGGGACGTGTATTTCCGGGGCGGCGGCGAAACAGACTGCGGCGAGAAGCTCTGCATCGAGATCCTTCTCGACCACGGGGGCAACGAGTGCCTGCCCTCCGAGTCCTCCTCGGTCACCGGGGGTTCGTCGTTTGCGGACCGCTTCAGGGTGGTGGCCTACTCGGTCGGGGAAGGCCCCCTCGGGAACAAGGCCGGGGGCCCCGACCGCTGGTTCTGCTGCCCCTTTCTCTCGGCCTCGTTCGGCACGGAGGCACCGGGTTCGGAACCGGAACCAGCCAAAGAGACCAACACCCCCAAGAAGAAGGAGGAAAAGAAGAAAAAGACGAAGAAAAAGAAGAAGCAAAAGCCACGGCCCTGGTACGAGATGCCTCAATCGTGGGAAGACATTGCCGAAGCCCTCGAGGGCCTCGCTGGACAGTCCACCGCCGCCCCGACGGCTCTGGAAAGCAGCACCGGCGGAAGCAGCCACGGCAACRGCMACGGCCCCGGCTGCCCCCAAAACGGACCTTCCGCGGGGGACTCTTCCCCGCGGATCAAGCGCGAGCACATCCTGCGGGAGCTGAACCGGGACCAGACCCTGCCCGGAGGGAGGGACAAGCGCGTCTCGGAACGGACGATGGAAATGGTGCATTTCCCGACCTCGCTGCCGAACGATTGCCTGCTGCCAAGCCCTTAGCGAAGACAAAAACGAACCAAGGAAACAAGCGAAGAAACGAACGAACGAACGAGGGTGGCAGCGGGAGCGAGGGGGATGGATCCCCACCCAGCGCGGGATGCGTTGGACGTGGGAATGGAATCATCGCGGTACGAATCGGTGCTGAATGTGGCACCAGCCCCCACCAAATTAGAATCGATAATGTAACACACACACACACACACACACAAGTATTTTTGTCATTGCAGCATCTCTGTCAAACCATCGCTTCCAAAGAAAACGGGTTTCGTGTAGTCCCGCCGATGAACAGATACTATTGCGATGCACGCGTTTGGGTATTGGAATCGAGATTGGAAGGACAGTGATCAACGAATCCAACCGAGCACATCTGGGTATAAAGATGCGCGTTTTGTAGAAACCTCTCGATACAACCCGATACCAGGACCGATCACTCCACTCCACTCCACTCCAATTGAATTGAATTGAATTGAATTTTTAATTTAGCAGTACCACTAGTAGTAGAATGAGCCCGAGGCAAGCCGCCGATCGGTACCAGCCCTTTCTTCCGACACAACCATCSAACACAAAAAGCCACAATACAGCATAGAACTACACAACCGTGCAACAAACACCTAACCAGCACGCAGGAGCTCGTCTAGGATCGGACCGAATTCGCTGTGGACGAGGCCGTGGCCGGCACCCTCCACGCGCCTCCCGCGTATGCCGAGCTGCCCGCAGATCCACTCCCCGTGCGGCGCCGTGTCGTCGGCGTCTCCCCACCAGACCTCCACCGGGGGTTTCCTTCCCCCGGCCAGGTCAAGGTAGCCAAAGCCCCAGGGGAGGCGGTTCAGGTGGAACATGTCCTGGAGCATCGCGTCCGCCCCGTTGGGAGCCCGGACGGCGTCCCCGAAATCGGCCGCGTAGGTTTCCCCGAAAAAGCCGGGGTGCTCCCTCATAAAGGAAGCGTCCTTTTCGGCGACGATCCGCGCCATGGTGTCCTTGACGTAGGCATCCGGGTCGGCCTGCCACTTGCGAAACTGCGACGAGAAAAAAAACGACGGCTTGTGAGTCGCCAGGAATGCACGAACGGTCGATCCGTGTGCACCGAGCTTTGGGCTTGCGGACGCAACCACGGAACGACCGAGAAAAAGCAGACCGGTAGGCAGGCAACTCCGGCAAGCAGTGCACGAACAAACCATCGAACCATCGAAAAACACACAAACGCAAGACAAGACAAGACACGACAAGACAAGACAAGACAAGACAAGACAAGACAATGCAATGCAAGACAAGGCAACCTACCACCGAACCAAAGAGGCCGTCGAGGATTCCCCCGCAGTAGAGCAAACAGAACCGGCCGCAGCCCCGAAGAATCCCCTCGGCCGGCCGGTCGACCGGCGGGCTCCCGGTGATCGGGGCTACCGGGCACACAAAGGAGGCCGCCACCACCCTTTCGGGGGAGGCCTTGCACACCGCGGCCAGGTGCGGGGTCCCCGCCGAGTGGGCCACAAAGCGGGCCTTCTCGAGGCCCAGGTGGTCCAGGAGGGCCCCAACGTCGGCGACCCAGTCTTCGTAGGTCCGACCGGGATGGGGGTCCGAGGACCCGTAGCCCGGCCGGTCGACGGTGACGAGCAAGACGCCCTTCTGCTCGAGGAGGTCCGGAAACGGCGTGGGGACGTAGCTCCTGCCAAAGCCGGCCCCGGAAAAGAAGACCACGGGCACCCCGTCGGCTTTGCCGTGCTCGCTGTAGGCGAGCCTGCGGCCGGACTCCAGGGCGACCACCCCGCTGGCAAAAGGCTCCCTTCGGGTCGTTGTCGGCGGCATCCCGGGCGTTGTTTGGTTTGGCGAGCAGCTAACAAGTAGTACGGTAGAGTACAATAGAGTAGGAAGTAGAAGTGGAGTATGGGTTTTTGCTTTGTCTTTGTCTTTGGCTTTGGCTTTGTCTTTGKCTTTGKCTTTGGGACAAATGCTTCCAGTTTTGTGATCTGAAATGAAGGCCGGCCCGCAATCGGGACGTTGGCGTCGACGGGTTGGAGATGCAATTCCGTTCCGATCCTTGCCTATCCTTTCTGGTGGATTGATTCGTTTTTCGTTTCGTTTCTTGTATCGAACAGTATCCGAAGCCAAAAACACACGTTCGGTGTCTTCTACTTTACCCGTAGGTTACGGGTAATACGAGCACTCGTACGCGTACTCGTACTCGAACACAGCATACCGGCCGGTACGGTACTCGTACGTACGATACTCACACAAACGCGATGAACCATGGCACGGTACTGTAATAGTACGGAAGGTAGGCAGAAGTACGAAATAGTTATTCGTGATCCAGTGTTATCCTCACAGTGATAGATAGAAGTAGAACAACAATCAACTAACGGACATCACATAATTGGTAGTAGTACTGTATGTACAATAATACCCTAGGTACTATGATCCGGACGAGGACCTCGGCGAAATAATATTTTTGAGTCGTGTTTCGATAGTAGTTTTACCTAACGTACTACTATTACCGTCAGAGGGTACATTTCGTACCGTGGTGCTGTACGAGTACGACCTATGATCCTATGGCTACAAATTGTGATTTGTGATTTCACATTTCACCGTCGGTTAGGCCAGGGGTCACCTGGGTTAGGCTTTTGCGGTCACTTATGTACGGTACTCGTACAGGAGATACATACCGGTACGTACTAGCACTTCAAGTACTGAAATATTTTAAATTTGAAAGAAACATCATGGTACTATTTACAGTATCGAACAAAAGCGAAGTACAGTATCGTACCGTACAAAAATCAAAAATTGTTGCTTGGAACAACGACGGGACCCATCTACAGCCACAGGCACCACAGTGTGAACAACTAGAAAGGGCTCAATGAGGCTGCCACGAAAAAGACTACCATCGCTTACTTCTGGGAGCAGGACGCAGTCCTGGCTTCCCGTGCTTGCCATTGGCCTTCTTGTGGTTAAGAACGTCTTCTACTCTTCTATCCCCGGGTTCAGGTGGGATGACGTCGCGATTTTAGCCAAAGTCAACACCGCCTTTTACAACGATGAAACAGAAACAACTACAACAGCGCCAACAACAGCGCCAACAACAGCGGCAACCAAACGACCGCTGCAAGCCGAGCCACTGGGAGAGCACCCCTTCGTGGGTGCGATCGACCCAACGGGCGAGTATTTCGGATACGTCCACGATCCCACCGTGCTCCGAAGCAAAAGTAACAGCAAGAACGACAACGACAACGACCAACACAAACACGAAAACAACCCCTGGGAGTTTTCCATTCGAGACGAAACCGAGCGGGAGGGCCTCTGCGCGCCCGTCGGCTACGGACCCGAACGGTGGAACTCGACCGTTTGGAACGAACGGAACGTCGGTTTTGATTCGAGCAATGCGGTCTTCGGGGAAATCATAAAGGTGGCAAGCCCGCCCCTTGCTACGGGGGGCAGCGACAACAACARCRACAGCGACAGAGACATCAAGCTCTTCTGCGCCATTTACACCCATCCCGGAAACGACGAACAAGCCAACGCCATTCGGCAGACGTGGGGGAGGCGCTGCGACGGATTCATGGCGGCGTCCACGGTCAGTGACCCTTGGAGCGCCACCGTCAACATCCCCCACAAGGTCCACAAGAAAAACAAAAAATTTAGCCAGCAAGGATCCTACGGGGGGATATGGCAGCGCGTCCGGTCGATGCTGGCGTACCTCTATGACAACTTTCTGGAGGACTACGATTTCTATTACCTGTGCGGAGACGATACCTACCTGATCGTGGAAAACCTAAAGGCCTTTCTCAAAACCCCGGCCTTTGTCGAACACGCCGGTGGCACCGGGTACCCCCTGCCGGTCTACACCGGGGTGTGGATCCATCCGAACTGGGCGCCGAGCGTCCGGAAAAAGAAGGACAAGGAAGATCCCTCCTTTTACTACATGGGGGGAGGAGCCGGCTACGTCCTCAACCGCAAGGCAGTGGAGCTGCTGGTCACCCTGGCCTGGCCGAAGTGCCACGACAACACCTTTGCTGGCGAGGAGGACGTCCTTATGGCGTTCTGCCTGCGGCAGTACCTCAACGTGACGGGGTACGATTCCCGCGACGAAGAGGAACGGGAGCGCTTTTTCTGGTGGGACCTCGTGACCGAGGCGGAGGTCCGGGAACAGAGCATCAACGAGGAGAGAAAGGTCCTGCACCTCGCTGGGCAGTTTGTCCGGAAGCAAACCCGCTGGAACGCAAAGCACCACGGCTGGACCCCCAGGTACGGTCCGCACGATCGGATCTCACCCACCGCCGTGGCCTTTCACAAGGTCAAACCGGCGGAAAAGATGAAGCGGTACGAGCGGCTGTTCTACCGGACGGAGGCCCGGAACCCTGCACTGCACCAGAAGGACTGCGGCTTGGGTCTGGGGTGAACGGAGCGAGGCGAAGCGAAGTGGACCAAACCAAACGAAACGAAACGAAAACCGGTGGGATTTCGATAACGCGGTTTCAGAGCAAACGGTAAAACGGCGGTGTTTGCAGAGGAGTTCAAGGAGACTACCATGATTCTCGATGGCGCAAATCGAATTCTGATTCTGTTGTTGTTTGTAATTGCCTGTAAGATTGCGCAGATCACATCGTGGTTCGATGGTTCGATCGAGCGCAAGCAAGAACAGAATCGAGCTTCTCGTTGGATCCGAACCGCGGCTGGGTTTCTCGCACGATCGGGAACGGGTGGCAAAGAGGGCAAATGGCACGCACGGTATGTATCGTACGCAGGCGAGCGAACCTCCTGTCCACGGGAAACGAAAGGATGCGATGCATCCCCGCCAAACAAACATCGAAATCGCCACCGGTGGCACCGTTCGGATCCATCCAATCCCCGACGGCTAGGACGGACAACAACGAGATTGCCCGGGGGTTTTCGAAACCCCGTCGATTCACCAAGAGCGAATAATATGCCGTTGCTACTGTTGCATGTGGCTTCACGGAAAAGTACGATAGGCTTTGTTTAAATTATCGCAAGATTATTTGCAACTCTAGTAGTTTGTTTCGTAAGAGAACGTTCGTTGAGTGAAGGGAAAGAATCGTGAATGCACAAAAAGTCGAGCTTTTTCTCGGCGTTAGAACGAAGTGCTCAAGCATTGGTCTTCGTGCTACGATTGTTGCATGCAATTCCTGCCTTTCGTCGTCGCGTGATTCGGCTCTTGTTCTGTTTTGACTGGTCGGCCATCGACACATCTCTCCGATGCCTCGGCCGCAAGATATTCTGTGCTTTGCTTTGTCGTCTCGGCAATAGAAATTCGGTTATATACAAGAAAGGGAAAAGAAGAACGACTGCAGTGGTGAAAGCACACCAAGTCAAATCAAATCAAATCACACCACATAGCTACAACGAGCGCTGTCTCTTTCATAAGGGTGGTGGCAGGGACGCTCGAGCACCCTGCAACGGACTCTGACCTCCGCTGTTGTTCCTGGCTTCCTCTTCCTCCCGCCATTCCTGCTGGGCAGCAATGGCTGCGGTGTGGTGTTCGTCTCGCTTTCGGCGGCGGCCGGCCACTCCTTCTTGTGGTGGTGGATCGCAATCGCTTCTTCCTCCTTCCGAAGCGGTGGTGCTGGCTGCGCCATCGCTGCCGCTGCTCGTCGCGGACAGGGCCATCCTCTTGGCTTTTGCCGCATCGGAATAGCTTTTTTCGCACCCCGGGAGCTGGACGACAATGGCCGTCATGTTGTCCTTCGATCCGTATCGCAGGCACGTGTCCAAGATCTGCGGACAAACCGGTCGGACAGAGGCAACAAAAAAAAGAGGTAAGGGACGGTTGGGTTCGAGACCGAGCGCACCAAAACAAACGAAACGCAGCCGAAATCAATGCAGCGTGAAACGGAAGCGATTGCTCKGATGGATCATCCAAACCATGCAACACCAAAGGCAAAACGGCAGCCAAACAACGCAAATACCAAACGACACCGTTCCATCCGATTCGATCGGACCGCAATGAAGCCAAGCCATTGTCACAACGCACTGATTCACGGGTCGACCAAACAAAAACGCACCTCTTCGGACACCAGCCCCAGATCGGATTCCCCTTCGTCGTACATGATCGCGTCCAATTCGGCGATGCACTGCTGGTTGGAAAGCACGTCCCATATACCGTCGCAGGCCACTACCACGTATTCGTCGCGCTCGGCATTTCGGGCATGGACGGTCACGTCCGGTATGGGGCTGACTTTTTGATCGCCGGGTGGAAAGATCAGCGGTGGCGGAGCTCCCGAAGACGACGAACGACAAACACCCCGGTCGTGGCCTTCGTCGTCGTCGTCCGTTTTTGTGCCCATGACGGTGTCCTTGTGTTTGCCGGGGTTGTTTTGCGAGGAAGAAAACCGCCCGTCTTCCTCGTCGTCTCCCGGATACAGCTGGGTGTTGTTCAGGACAACCGCCATCTGTTTGAACCGGAAATCCCCGAGTCCACGGGAAACCGCCAGATCACCCTCCACGCGCCCGTTGGCAACGTATCCCCCGGCATTCCGGACCCTCCGTTCCTCTTCCTCGTCGTCCGGTTTGTGATCGAACGAGAGGGGTATCGCCTTTCCGAGTATGCTGACAGCAGACGGATTGTTGTCGTGGTTGCCCTCGCCTTCGGTGGTTTTCTGAACCACGGGTTCGGGTGGCCTCCGGGCAAAGACAGCCCTGGAATCTCCGGCATTGGCACACACTATCGCCTCCGGTGTAATCAATACGACGCAAGAGGTCGTGCCGGAATCCCCCTCGTCTTCGATCGCGGACACGTGGTCCGAGGCGGCCTTCATGGCTGCCCCAGCCATGGCCGATGAAGATGATCCGGTGTTGCTGTTGGTTCCGTGGTGTTGGTCGGTGTTGCTGTGTTGTTGTTTGCCTCGATCCTTGCGTTGGTTCGCATCGTCGTCGTCGTCGTCGTCGTCATTGCGATTGTCGTGATACGGCGAGTTCGCATCGGCGTGGGACTTTCCACGGATCGCCAACCCGATTTCGTAGTCGGTTTCGACAAAGGCCTGTTTGAGGGCCTGTTCCAATAACTGCATCTTCTTCGCAGCGCGTGTCGCAGCGGCCGTTGTTGTTTTGGGTTTGGTTGGTTCGGTGCTGCCGGTGGGAGTTGCGGGCGGTGGTCCCGAATTTGCACCCGTGCCTGCGTCCTCGTTGCACATCTTGGCGTATCGGACAAAGTGTCGTTGCTTGGAAAGTATCCTCAGGAAGTTGTTCCCCGAATAAATGGCAGCAAAGGTTCCGCCGTGTCCGTCATAGACTGCAAACAAGGAGTGGCCGTGGAGCGGGATTTTGCGTTTGCGCTTGTGCACAACGTCCTCTTTGCCCTCGCATGACGTTGTTGTTGCTTCGGTCACTGTCTCTTCAAGAGCGTACAGGTCCCCCTCGGCGATATGGGCGTCTTCCATGTGGACTCTCCATCCCTGCATCGAGGACAGCCCGTATTTCAGGCGCTCGTCTTTTGTGACTCCGCGATGGGTTTCCTTTTCGGTGACCGGGGCTCCCAGTAAATTTCCCATCTTTGGTTTTTCAAGTGGTAAGTTACTGGTGCTATACTGGATGAAACAGTATGTAAGACTAGGTATTTATTTAACAGAAAGAACTCGGAATTCGAATCCAATTCCGTGTCGTCTTTTGCAGATGCAAAAAGCTTTTGCTTTTCCCTTCCTTCGTAGGTTCCGCAATATCGTTCTCTGCAGCAACCGGACCTTTTACTCCTGCTTTGAGCCGAATGATGAAGTGGAAAAGTCCGAAACTGAGTTGCTTTGTGTTTTGTTTTGCAGTGTGGTGTGGTGTGGTGTGGTGTGGTTTGCAGTGATGAGTTGCGTTGAGTTGCGTTGATATGGGCTGGGTTGGGTTGGGTTAGTTTGGGTTTGTTACACAGTTCAGCAGTACACTTCCACAAGTTCTATTGAATATTGCCTCTCCTTTGACCAAAACAATCGATGGTGATCAATTGACTTTGGTTCAGTTCCGTTCGGTTCGGTTCTATTCGGTTGTGTTTGCTTCGACAACAATTTACTTTTCTCTCCTGGAGAAAACGGTGCGTATGATCTATCCCGGCGTGAATTGCTGTTCAAGTTTGTTGTATCGCCAGCTACAAGGGTTGGATGACACAAAGAATTTGGTATTGATATACTCTTGCTCACCTAAGGACCAGCAAAAGATCGTAAGGTAGGTTGTGACCTACCGTAGGGTCGAGGCTTCTGACTTCGGTCGGGCTGGATTCGGTTGCTGCACCTGTAGCTGGTATACCCCCTACAGGACGACTACCTTGTACCGTTACTGATACTCGCATCGCAGCGACAATTTTTTTTTAAAAAATGCAAGTACTACAGTGGTAGTACGAGTACTCGTACCCTACCGTACGTACTTCGAAGTAGGACATAACTGTGGAGGAGCTCGCGCAGGGCGTATCACAAATGTAACCAGAATTTTGTATCTGTTGAAACTCCGTGTTCGCGGGAAGCGCAATGTTCTTTGCGTTCTCCTGCCAGAGCTCTCCATTGCACAAAACAAAATTCTTCCCACACTACGGTAGTAGTACGTACTAGTAATAACACAGACCTCAACTGATCATAAAAAAATTCTGGTTACATTTTTGGCACAACAGTCACAYTACTGAGATCCAGGGCTTGAAGTGATGTTACTGCAAGTACTTTCTTCAGTAACAGCACCACCAACCAACAAAACCAGTATAGTAGGGTTTTGAAGTATCCATTATTGCGATCAGTCAGCTGCGCAAGAAGTAACACCATGAGTTCTTCTTCTTCTTSTTGTTGTGGTACTATTTGTTGGTTTAGGCCAGACTCATCCAGATTGATGACCTGGTTAAGTTGACCAGCAAAAAAACAACAATCTCACCTTCACAGATTTCATCATCTTGCTTCAGTCTGGCAAAGCCTTTTGTAACAAGTATGTGTTTCACTTTGCTAAACCACATGTTAATATTTTTATACGCAGTCCACTTGAGTTGTCTTTCCTTGACTTTGTTACCATTCTTTGTAACCTTTGAGTGCCCAGCAAATGTTGGGAGCAATCTTTGGCAAAGGTTTATGTAATCATTTAGCAAGCACAGGCCTGGTACTAAGCAAGTCTTCAGCATTGCAATGAAACCTTTACTGCAAGGAATCTTTTCCTTTCCTTGCAGGCCAAAGCAACAAAAGATGATAAGGCGTCTCCCAGTGCAATTATAATAGACTGCGGAAGCAAACTCTTTTGTCCCTTTCCAGGAGGAGCCCTGAGGTTCTTGTCCTTGTGTCATGCACTGTGTTTACCTTCAGCCATGTGTTGTACAGTAAATTCACCTGAGATACAATACTGACAACAGAGGACTGGCAGTTGGGCAGCAAATTTTCTTGCTTGTTGTACCTGACTTTCTTTGCAATAGCATTGTAAGCATCTTTATGAGCCCATTTCTGTAAAAACTTGTTCACCAACTTGATATGAGCTTGTTTAGGAGTATCTGGACTCTCTTTTAGAAGGACTGGTGCAAGGGCTCCCTTCTTCACGTAGACTACTGTCATCCTTGCTCTTTGCTGGTGCTACCACTGCTGCTGTTGAATTAGTGAGAACTGATATTTTTGCTTCCAACTCCTCCAGCTTTAGCCCTGATAGTTTGCAGGCCCTTAATGTAAGAATTAGATAACTTGTCTTGTGAGCACAATTGGTTGAATGTTGATGAAGAACTTCAGAGGTGACAGCTTGCTATGCTGCTGGTGGAAGTTGTGTTGATGAGTTTTCTGGTGGGAAATTTGATGTGCAGAGAAATCAACAAGCCGTAACTGGTTCCCATCAAAATTCACATACTAGCAATATGCACATACTTGTGAAGAGAAAAGAAAACCCTTTCTGACTCACAGATTCTCTTATTCTGATTGGTGCTTTGCTAGCATTACAAACAAGCAAGAAGAGATAGCTAAAAACTGGCACATTTTATTGTACTCATAACATGTTAGAAATCAATAGTCTTATTTTGTACTCATACTTKTACTTAGCTGATGCACATGAGTGTTCTTGCAGGTGTGCTCCTAGTAGTCAAACTAGTCAGGAGGGGTCTGGTAGTTCTTGCTCCCACCAGTACTTTATGCTGTTTCATCTTGTCCCAGCAGATTGCTACCATCAATGCTACCAGATTGCAAACACAAATGCTATATATGCTACRCTACCAGAATGCTACCCCCGCCCTACAAAAATAGTACAGAATGCAGTACTCTACTTTTCCCAAAATAATTGTCCAGTATGGAATGGTCCTATAGAATGTGTACAATAAGTACTACAAGTAATACAACTATTGTGTCACCATTCATATTTAAGAGTATCGGCACTATTACGACTACTATTGGTACCAATACAGCACTAATTACTAGCATTGGCATTACTATTGTTGAAGTCTGCCAGTACTGAATGTGCAAAGGCAATCTTTTCTTCGTTGCAAGTGATCAATACTGGAAGCTCCCCTTGGCGAGAAAGCTTTTCTTTCCCAAGGTGTTGAATCTTGGAAGTGTTGTCACCACCAACACCAGGTGTAGAACAGCTTCTCTTTGATTGTTGGTCAAGTTGATAAGGCGCCGTTGCGTTGGAGGAGGAGTAACAGTTGCAGGAGGAGGCAGCAACTCACTTAGTTCAAGGAGATCCATAGCCAGATCAATTGTGTCTATTCCTGTGGCTATCTTGGTGTGTGTTTGCTTTAGAAAAGAGCAACATTCAATAAAGTGAGTGGATGAAAGTATGGAAATACAAAACAAGCAACAAAGAGATAGCAGGTTGATCGGAGGCGCGTCCCCCCTCTTCTTAGTGTGTGGGAGCGTGGAAGCAACGGAGACGCGAGGCGAGTTGTTCCTTTGCTTGGTGCATTGGCTCAACGGAGACGCGAGGCGCCATCTGTGGAAGCAACGGAGGCACGAGGCGCCGGCGAGTCGATGGATACCTTCTTAGTGGAAGCAACGGAGACGCAAGGCGAGACGCGAAGCGAGTCCTTGGATCACTCCCCCCTCTTAGTGGACGTGAGGCGAGTCGTTGGTCGTTGGATCACTTCCCCCTCTTAGTTGAATCGCGAGGCAAGTCGATGAGTCACTTGAGGTGCGAAGAATAAGGCTTGGATAGCAAAGAAGCTGGTCTTAGTCAGTTGAATGGAAAGAGCGAAGTGACAGAAAGGAGACGAAAAGAGGAAATCGGGAGGTGTAGTGAAATCAAAAGTGAAAATTGCGAACGCCGGGAATGACCAAGGAACAGAGCCATTGATGCATCGCAGCAACAAACTCGTTGCAAACATGCAAAAAAGCATACCCTAGTGTGACCAAACGGCCAATGAATTTCTGTTTCTATTTCCAGCTCATGCGAATAGTACCAGTAGTAGCACATACCATACATAGTTCTGTAGGTGCGGCCTTTGTTGAAAACTATACTACAAAGAGACGAAAACGCAACCGATGGGCTCCATTCCACATCAGTGGTCAACAAGCGCATCGGGAAGGATTGGGGGGAGGGAAGGGGGAGCATAGTTTTTTGTCCTCGGGGCAAAAGAGATTGATTCGTGGTCCTTTTGTTTCGATCCGATTCAATTCCATTCGATTCGATTCGATTTGGTTTGGTTTAGTTTGGTTTGATTCGTTTCATTCTACGAAATGCGTAGCTGCATAGCTAAATAGCTAGCTACAGCTTCGATTTCGGTGTGGGCTGTACAACTGTCGCTCCATTCCCACTGCGGCATTTGGCATTGCTACGAACAAAATTCTTTGCCCTTTGTGCGAGCACCTATCTTGGCTGTATCAGCAGCTCTACAACTCGTATCGGCGGCGCTCGTATCAGTAGGTCTACAACTTGTATCGGCGGTGCTCGTATCCGCCACTCGTATCCGTAGCTCTGTATCAAGTGACACTCGTATCAGTAGACGGACAAGAAGAGGAAGACCTTCTCCTCCCCTTGAAGAACAGAACGCGAGTGTCAATCGTGCCGAATCAGTCATCGCCTCTAGCAATTCTGTATTTGTGAGTGAACTAACTTAGTCGTGTGTTTTGAAGGAGGGCAATCGGACGATTTTTAAGCATTTCGTAGCGTTGATTTTTTGATCACTTCTAGACGTATTTTTGGGTATCTTCAAAACGTGAGGTCCAGTCTTACCTTCGAAGCTCATTCCCAAGGGCCATTCTCTAGGGTCAGTACAGTAATTCCAGGAAAATATTAGGCAGTAAAAGTACTAAAAAGTACATGTAGGCCTCGTCTTGACGAAAATTCCGGAGGAGAACCCAGTACTAAATCACGTACAATCTACGGTATTTCTCATCGTATTATTCGAACTTTAAGCTGGAGCGAATTTTTAAAACGTACCCTTGTGCCAATTCAAAACAGATCTCTTTCTGTTCGACGGAACGGCCTGAAGTCATGGAAATTTCATGGCCGATGTGGCTTATATTTTTTGGAAAGGTATGGCCATATCTGTTAATATCAACTACTAGTCAATAAGATTAATTTTCTTGAAGACCTCCTACGTTTTCCGTTGTGAGCCTAAGTAATCAACACTTTTGTGTCAAGTGATTTTCACAAGGAGCCAAAAACTCTCAACTTTGATGCGATTATTACACTGAATCCGTCGTGACCTACCGTAAAGCAGGGGTCATAATTTAGGACCCCTGCCGTAAAGTACGTACTACTAGTATTGTACTCAGAAGTTTTTTTTAGTTGATGCCCAAGATTGAAATTAGGATACTACGAGTATGGTACGTACGACTTGAAACTGCAGATTTTCACAAAATTTGATCGGAACCTGCAACAAACAGATTCGATTATGCCAGAGCTGTTTCGGACACAAAACAAAGGATACTTCCGTCAAAAGGTCTAGATTTTTTCACGTCATGTCGCCTTTCAACAAATTCACTGCACTCGCTACGATGCTCGTTGTAGCGGTAACATCTGCTTCATCTCATCAAGGAGGAATGGAAAGCGAGGACATCAACCGCCGTCAACTCCTGCAAGACATCGACCAACGTCAGCTTCTTGAAGAGAATGGACTCGTTCTGTTCAAAAAGATTTCAGAGTATGTTACTGGTGAATCTGAATCAAAATGGTGTGCACAACTCCCAACCTCTAAATTTCAAATGATATGTGACATCAAAGGAATTTCACAAAAATACATTGAGTCCTTTCGCCCTATTTCTGGTCAGTCTGTCATGAAGATTCAAGGTGCCTCTCTCCAGAGATCACCTGATTCTAATTTGCGGCTGGACATTACTGATGAAGCATCAGTAAGAATTGAACGGCTGCCCCAAAATGATGCCCGCTACCAAGGACAAACACTTGATGAAAAGCCAGGCAGGCCCTTTGGCACCAAGAAAGTTTTGGTTGCTCGTGTTACCAACAATGGTGTTTCACATGAAGCAGATGACAATGCAATTCTTAATGCTACATTTCAAGGCTCTTTATCTATGAAATCACAGTTTGCAGCATGTTCAAGGAATCAACTGGACCTCCAACCTACTGCAGTTACAAATAGTGGACTGTTGGAACTTTCTATCAACATTGAATCATCAGATGGTTCAAGTCTTGAACACGCTGCTGTGGATGTCCTATACGAACAGTACGGTGACGCAGTTGACAGCTCTGATCTCATTGTTTTGTGCCTTCCTCCATTTGTACCAGAAATTGCTGCATATGCTTTCCTTGGTGGCTGGTGGAGCTTTTACAACTTCCATTACTGTACAGACGTCCCAACCGTTTTGCATGAAATTGGTCACAACTTTAGATTAGAGCACAGCGGAATGGGTGACAACGGCTATGGTGATGGCATTGGTGTAATGGGGTGGTCTTCGCCAGATGGTTTTCGCCAGTGTTTCAATGCAGTAAAAAATTTTGCATTGGGATGGTTTGACAATCAAGTAGCTACAGTGAATCCCCTTGATTGGGCTGGTAGCAGCAGAACATTTGTCTTCACTGGCATTGAGCAATACCAGGCAATTGGAAGTGCCAACAAACTCATTACMTTGCAATTGGATGCAGGTAGCGAAGGCGATTGGTATATTGGGTACAATGAAGCTGTTGGTGCAAATGCCGACACTGCAGAAGCACTCAATCAGGTGGCCGTTTCCTATGTATATCCACTGTCTGATGACGAATACCGTGATCTTCCTAGTGCTAAACAGAGCTGGCGTCAAGCTGCTCTCGCTGTTGGCAATGTCTATGGTATCAACAACTTTGGGGGCACAGAGTATGGAGTTTATGTCAAGTTTGTATCCCTTGTTGGAACTGATGCAACAGTTGAAGTGATCACAAGCACCACACCTGTTCTTTCTTGTGGTGGTCTAGGTAGATTCAGGATTGGCCTCCTGACGGATGCAAAAGGCTATGAAACTAGCTGGTTTCTTCGAGACAGCAACGGAACGGTTATTGACCATTATGATGATGGCAAGTATTGGTATAAACATCAGTACTACTATCCGTCGGCAGAAAGTTCCTATTGCTTGCCTCCGGGCTGCTACCAGTTTGAGATTCGTGACTCTGGAGGTGATGGTCTGACCGACGATGCTTGGGATCCGATCGAGGGGCATGGGAGGTACGATGGGACCCTTGATGGGGTGGAAATATTTTCCGGGGCAGAGTTTGGGTATAATGAAGTGAATGATTTCTGTATCGAAGCTGCACCGGTGCCTACGCTTGAACCGACAGCTGAACCGGTGCCTACGCTTGTACCGGCACCGACAGCTCCCCCTAGTATGGGCTGCGAGGATGACGGTACATTCAAATTCAGGGGCAAAAACAACAAGATGTGTGGAAAGAGATGGATGCAAAAGTATACACGCAATCTTAATAAAAGGAAGCGAAGGAAGCTCCGAAGACTGTGCAAGAAGAAGTCGGAAGGAAAACAAGTCTTTACTTTTTGTCGCGCCACCTGTGCCCTAGTTGATCTAGGACCTTGTGCTTAAACACTGTACACACGTTTCCAATGTAAAGTGGCGGYGATCGATCGACATTGTATCCGATAACCCCTTTTGAAAGTATCTAATCACATTTCATAGTCCATCTGTTATGATTTGGCGTAATGTCGTTTTGCAATGTAGCGACGCCAAGCGTTGTAGAATGATCGCAAGATGCATGCTTCATTGAACCGGAAAGAATGAAGAAACCAGACCATGATGTTCCCAGAGCGTTTATATGTTGAAACTTTCGTCGTTGCACTTTGCTTTTCGTGTCCTGTCACAAAGAATCGCTGCGATTGTTAACTTCTCCAACCCTCGACGACAATTTTGATGTCGATTTTTTAGCGTGTACGGGTAAAAACATAACTGAGGTACGCACGGTAGCGTACGTACGTACGAGCTGGGTTCCTGCTGCGTAAGAGAGTTGCAGATTGCAGATTGCAGATTGCATGGCACATCAGAAACTCATGAACACGGCATGCTGACGAAAAAGCCGAAAAGCAACTGAAGTACTGGTACCAGTATTTCATTTTACTTACGTACAAATAGTAGGTACAAATTGGGTCGCCGAAGCAAACAGTTACTACGGTGCAAGAACTAAGTTAGTGCCAAGGTAAAAACTACTGTAACAATCTGAGAAGAATTTAGAAGCTTATCAATGAAAGCACTGTGGCTGTTTGTTGTTTCTGAAATAGAAATTGAGTTCAATGATTTCTTGTTGTCTATTTTGTTTGTTGTTCTTTGTAAGAAGAAGAAGAGGTGTTCTCACAAACAGAACACTTGAAGTTCTACTACTAGTAGTACTAGTAGTAGTAGTAGTAGTACTATGGATGTAGTAGTAAGAATAGTAGTACTAGTAAAAGCTCCTCCTCTTCTTGAAAGCACAAGGATGACATAAATCCAATTGCTTCTTGTTGTGTAAGACCAAGAAGTTGAAACCAGTACATTTTCCAAAGATCTTCAATGTGATTTGTGAACAGTTCTTGCATTGGCAATAGTAGTACTAGTAGTAATTCTTGGGATGGTTGCCTTGAGATCTTGTATGTGGTACTTGTTGTAGGTTATACGACTAGTAGTAGTAGCACTATTACCAATCTTCCCTTGTTGGAGTCTGCCCCTCTTTTTCTTTAATTGCTTCATTAGCTGAAAGCATAGATTTTAAGTGTAAAAACAAAAGCAGCAACAATCTAGCTATCCATTTCTTCCCTGTCCCAATCATTTTGAAAATTCAACTTTGTTTAGTGGTGCCTGATATTTTGCAAGATTCCAGTACATGATGTGAAGTTGTTGACAACTCCCACATTATTGTTCCTGTCAGAATTACAGTACTATTGATATCCTCCATTTTTCTCATACCAGCAGCTAACTTTGCTGGGATTGGAATGATACTGTCCTATCTTTGAGGATGAAGTGATTTTCAGCAACTATTGGATTCCTACTACTAGTACTAAGTATTCCTGTTGGAACCTTCTTAGTAACCAACTCTGCTGTGTGCCACAAAAAAAAGAACCACAAGATTCTCTCATGCTGCCTGTTAAATGGTTGTTTTCATATCATCTACCTTACTACTCTGATACTAGTAGTACTAGCAGTAGTTCTAGGAATTAGAAATTGAATACTACAAAGTACTATTACTACTAGAATAGGCCAATTCCTTTCTAGGTGATTTTTACTGTTCCTTATTTTTGGAAGAAACCAAAAAAATTCATTTGTGTAGAATCCATGAAGACTTTTGCTGGCACCCCAAAATTGGTCATTACCATTGGAGCAGTGGTCACTCCAAAATTGAAGAGAACCCATTCCTTGATGTCACACACAACCTATTCTTGTGATTGATCCTCTCAAAATTTCCTTGTCACAAGACTCCAATGTTCAGATAATATCAAGATTGGCCTTTATAAAATTAGAAAACCACCCTGGATCTTCTTGATAAATTTGGCAACCTGCCATACAACCATCAAAACAGAAGAGAGTACGTAGTAGTAACACTGATAGGAGGAGTACCATCAAACAAGTCTGGAACACAGCTGGCCAAGGTTTCAGTGGCAATGGATGGGAATCCAATAATAGATGATGCCATTGTTGTCTTTCTCAAAGATTGTCCAACAGTATTCCAATGCCAGGAAACTCAACTGCCAGTAGAATTCCTGGTGGAAACAAAGACAGAACTGTAGCACCAGTTGGTAGGATGCCATAGCAACACTTGTTGGTAAGGTTGACACTCCTGTCACAAATATGACAGATAACAAGAATAGTACTAAGAGAGCCACATCCTTACAGATCTTACTTGTCCAATCAATGTTGCTAACACTTGTATTATTACAAGTAACATCATAACAGTATTCAGGACAGAAAAAATATTCTTGCTAGTAGTGTGAGAATGTTTTAAAAGACATTTTCTCACTGCCATCATGCTTTCCTCCTCACTGATGTTACTATTGCCAAACCAAAACAACTACCATTCCATGCAGGTTATTTCCTAGCAGAACATCTTTTGCTGGTGACAAAATGAAAAGAAGAATGCTACTACTAGAACTGGCTATTGTTTTAAAAGCAATGATGAATGATGAGCCTTTGTTTCCTTCCTAGTACACTACCACAGCAGGTGAGAAAAAGCAGCACCAAAAGCAGCAAAAGTAGCAAAAGTTAGAGCAGCTGTAGCCCTTCATTATTTGAATACTCTGCAAAGCCTAGTACTAGTACAATGATCAAACTAGCTATTTGCAGCAAATCTTAAAAACTTAATATTATGTTTAACCTTGTGAACTAGAAGGGGCACTATATGGCCAGAACCATAGCTTTTGGTGGAAAGTATGCTTCTTGTCACACCAAGGAACGGCACTTCCCTCCAAGGAGTTGTTGTGGAAGCACAACCAGGTTGTTTGTTGGGCTGGGATATTAAGTTAGACAGTTGCTCAAAGGAGTTTGAATTGTACATTTGATTGCAGCAGAAACCAAAGAAATCTTTGGTGAAGCAGAGGATTTGTGTTGTTTCTTCTTGGAGTATGCATCAAAGACCAGCCCATCTTGTGTGACACTCTCTGGTGGTTGTTTACTATGGGGCAAATGTTGAAAATAATGAGTAATAGGGCACTCATTAGAATTGTTTAAGGTTAAGGAAAACCACACAAATGAACCAAGAACAGCAAGGGAGGACCATGGTGGGTAAGAAGGGCAGAGTTGCTATTATATCAATTAATTGATATGTTGATTGATTGCCGTATCACCACAACCATTGCATTGCTGTACTGCTGTAATTCTAGTAACTTAACTGCCTTCTTTTGATTAATCTCTCTTCTTCTTTTCGTTCAACTAACCACAGCATCCAGGAATCCAGTTGACCATGGGATTCATCCTGAAAACACACCATTGCCATCAAGTGATATTCTTTGACCTACTTCAAAGTACACTCCAGTGAGATCCTCCTTCCTCTAGTAGGAAACCTCATTGGTAGTGGCAGCAGACGTCTTCATAAAGGTGGATAGGATTTAGTTGCGTCCTATGGTGCTGTACTGGAAGTTGTAGAAGTTGATGGGGAGGTTCATGATGATCCTCCTATCTCCATCTCTTCCAAGGCCTCCCTTTTCAACAAAAGGAGATCAGGATCCCTCTGTGAGCTCTTGATTATGCTATACTGGTGGTAATGCTTCAATGCAAAGGCTGAGTCTACAACACCTTTGTACCATTGCATGTGCTGTGGATCTTCTCAATCTTTTGATAGACCTGGTGGTCAGCAATGGAACTGTTATGCCAAACCCCCTGGAAGTTGTACACTTCAATCCTGATTCTACCATCTGGGGCAAAGGCAAACACGCTAGTAATAACAAAGGTGTTTTCCTTCCAAGCATTGTAGAATACTCTATGTTTATACCAGTCCTGTGACTGTTCAATGACACTCTAGCCTTGGATACTTGTCTCTGATAGCCTTATCATGAGTATCCACTTCATGCTCAGTTGGAACACTGACCATGGCGTCTGAAGGGCAACAAGCAGCACTCTCTGTGAAAACTTGAGCCACTTATACATCACTGTGGACGTTAAGCCAAATGTCATTGCCATTGCTCTTGCAACAGATCCTCTTGTCCTGTACCAATAGAGGACTACCCCAATGGCACAGACTGCATTTATCTCCCTCTTCTTCCCTTTTGGCTTGCCACTAGGATAACCAGGAACTTTCATGATCTCGTTGTTGTTGTTGACAGGAAACTTGTTGTATACTGGAGCAAACACATCAACAAGCTCCCTGGAGACCATGTGGTCTACACCACAACAGTTCAGTGGTAGTGCTAACTCTAAATTGTGAGCCAGGGAGTTCTCCTATCTCTTCTTCTCCTCTCTTCAGGACTTAGTTTGTTCTTATAACTTTGTTCCTCCTGCTGGATATTCAGTTGAATGTACCAGTACATTGTAATGACCTCGGAGAGTCCCATTGTCGTGACCTTTCTTGCTAGAAGGAAACTAGTCTATTAATGTGTTTAATGGCAACTTGTGTGAGGAACATACATATTTTTTTTATACAATTTAGTCATTATGTTGAACTATAATTAAGATTCCAGATTCCAAAAAAGACTGGATTGAGGCCTGCCTTCCTTGTCGTCTATCCGTTGAAAAATTTATTCCCGTTATTATATGTTTAATAAAAGTGCTAAATATACTAGTTTAGCACATCTATAATAACAGGAATCTCCCAATCTCCAGTGGTCAAGGCAGAAGCAAAGAGAAGCGAGGCCAAGGTCGAGGAAAAAGCCAAGGTAGAAGAAGAGAATCTCAAAGCCGAGGCAAAGGCCGGCGCTGCCACCAAGGAAAAAAGAAGAGAATCGAGACTGAGCTTCTCAGAGCTAAGGAAGGGTTAGCTTGGGCCACCGGGGCCGGTGCTGGGATCGGACTTGAGCTCATCGCCAAGGCTGATACCAGTGGTATAACCATGTTTGACCAACTGCCTGCACCCGGCAGCGGCGTTGCCGAAACAACTCGCAATGGTACGGTTGAGACAAGATGACGTGTCGTGCAAAGTGATAATTCTACCAACTGCGTAGGTGTGTACAATGGCCAGCCAGCTACAGTTTCGATCTTGGTGTGACCTGTTTCGTCGAGGTCCCATTCCCACCGTGGTGTTTGTCGTTTCTTTCGACAAAACCCTTGGTCCTTTGCTTGAGAACGTATTTGGTGTGCAATCCCTTGGCGATCGGAACCAGGGCGTCGCCGTCGCCGTCGTTGTCGTTCTTGTCTTCCCGAAAGAGATCGCACGCCACAAACCGGAGCTTTTCGCCGGGCACCCCCGGYGGCCGCATCCCCCCGGTGGTTCCCTGTTCTACCGTGCTGCAAACCGCTACCACGATCGATTCCACCGGAGCCGGTGCCAGGCACGAAACGTGCAGGTCCGCCGTCACGCTCGGGACCGGCTCCAGAGCGGCCAGCAGGACCGACGTGAAGATGTCTACCGCGGTGGCCTGGGCTCCCCCGTGGAGAGTGTCGAAACCGTTGCAAAGCAAAGGGGTGACGGGGAAGGACACGACCAACCGCGTCGTCGTCGTCGTCGTTGTACTTGGCCGATGCTTCGGATCCCGCCCCAAAGAGGAGCCGCTGCGACAGAAGCTCCTTAGCTCGACGTTCTCCATCAGCGTGTCGGCAAAGGCACCCATGCCGTGGCAGCCGTGGCCGAGGCTTGCTCGGAGTTTGGTCAGGAGCTGCTCCAGAACGGCCYGGTCGTTCTCTTTTTTGTCGAGACCATTGCTTGGCTTCCCTTCCGTTGCCCGTTCCTCCGATGGTGGTTGCGGGGACGASATCGGTGASRGACTGTCGGGAGAACTGTTGGGCATCGGCRGCATCTTCGGGGAGTTTGTCTGRCACGAACGAGYGGGTGATGATGCAGAAACGTCCAGATGGCGATGATGTGATACAGAGAGCTAGTTGGTCGTGTCGGCCTTGAGCCTCGACCAACTTCGTACAGATGCATACGAGTACGAAGCATATGATGCGACCTGAATCTGAACAAGAAAATCCAATCGACAGGAAGTACGATACGACGAYAGGATGGGTACGAGTTGCGAGTACCATACATACTACGTACAACATACAACACACTTTAAAGCTWATGCTGCGCCAAAATGAAATCCAGATTTTTACTAGAAGTAGAAGTAGTACAAAGTACTGTAATTACGTACCCGTAGTAAAAGCAACATACTGTATGTCCCTTTTTCGGGAATGACCCATTGCAGAACGTTCCTGCCTTACCCTTAGGGGCCATAATTTTATCTAGTCCGGCCGTTCCTGTGCGTGGCTTACAATTTTTTCGGAAATTAATGACGTTGGGAAATGACCCTAGGGAATGACCCTCAATGGTGTGAATAGGTACCTCACGTAGCGTAGCGTATTCAAGATACCAAAAAATACTTCTAGAAGTACAATCCGAGTACGTACATGGTACTGTACGAAAGTACGTATGATACCTGTGGGTACGTACTTCGGGAGTAAAGTACGTACCGGCCGGTACCATACTTGTCCTCCTCCTYCAAACACACGACTAAGTTAGTTCACGCACAAATGAAGAATCGCTGAAGGTGATGATTGATTGGCAAGATTTACAATTTAAGGCATAATTATAATTCGAAATTTTGATCGTGATTGTTCTTATGCCTCACGTCTACTTCCATTTCTGGTATTCAATAGGCTCCTGCTATCATTATTTTTTGAACGAACTATGTCGATTTCCATCTGTGAACGGTGCGGTAGAGCTTCCCACAAAAACTGATCGAGAGCGATTATCATTACTTGAACCACCACCACCACAACCACCAATTCCAGCACTGTACGCAAGACGTCCAAACATCTTTCGCACGATGCAGACTTTCAGAAAATTCACCGCACTCGCTACCACGTTATTCGCTATAGCAAACTCGATTCGAGTTGCTGCCGCCGCTCATCAAGGACAAGAGACGATCGAAGACACTGACCACCGCCAGCTCCTTGAAGAAAATGGACTCGTTCTGTTCAAAAAGCTTTCAATGCGTGTTACTGGGGGAACTGATTCAAAATGGTGYGCACAACTCCCAACCTCTAAATTTCATGGCAGAATGCTATGTGACATCAAAGGAATTTCACAAAAATACATTGAGTCCTTTCGCCCTGTTTCTGGTCAGTCTGTCATGAAGATTCAAGGTGCCTCTCTCCAGAGATCATCATC